CCCTCGATTCCTCGATATCCTCGCCCTGCTCGGTGTACCGATGTTGCTCAACCCCTTGTTATTCGCCGATGGCATGTTACTCATCGACGTTGGCACGCTTCTGCTCGGCTTTTCCGGGGTTGCGTTCGCATTGTTCGCGCTCTGCAAATTCGTATACGGAACTCCTCCGCTACCGCAGAACACGTGCGTAACGCGTTCCATGACGCTCGCCTTTCCCCCACCTGAAACATTCCGTCGTTTATTTTAAACGTCGTTTTCTCCATTTTTTTCCTTTCCTTTTTTTTTTTTTTTTCTTTTTTTTTATGCAAATGGAATGGAGGTAAAATGAAGTTAAGTAATAATGTACGTTTTCAAATTGGATAACGAGGATTTTCTAATTAAGCTAAGTAATTCGAACAGTGTTATAACATATATACAGTTTTCTTATATATGTATATATTCTCTTCTCTTGTTAAGAGAACTTCCTTAATTGAGTTAATTCTGCGAAAAAATGCATTTAAATGCAGTTTCTTTCTTTTTCTTTTTTTCTTGAAGATGATAATTCGTATTATCCGTGTTAGTTTAATAGCGCTCACTAACATCTTGAAAAATTATAATGTATATCTGTGCAACGATTTCTGAATCGCGAACGTATATTGTCGTAATTTGTTTGAAATATTGATTGAGCAAAATAATTGGAAAAAAAAAAAAAAAAAAAAGAAACGATTCGAAAAATTTTTCGATGTTTAATTTTTCTCGATGGTAAACACTCGTTCAATCAAATACTTAACATGGAAATATCCACGAACACGTGAATACCCTCGATGCATATCGAATTTAAATATATCCTTTCATCGACGTTTAATAATTATCGATTTATAGAATATAAATAGAATAATTTATGCAAATTTCTTATTAAAACATCCTGTTGTTCAAATAATATTGTCTCTTAATACACAATTTGTGAATTTAATTAAATCATGGTTATATTGGAAAAAAAAAATTGTGGAAAAAGAAAAAATTTCCATACAATATTACATTGGCGAGCTTGTCTTTAAAAGCGTTTCTGCAAAGGTAAACTCGCTGCGAAGATGCAGCAGTTATTTTCGTTTTATTTTCGAACAGTATGTCCTATTTGGCTCTGGGTACGTCTCTATTTCCTGTCTCTATCTCTTTATCGTATGACGAACATTTTTTTTTTTTTTTTTTT